GGCCAACGCAACAGACGCACTCATTTAATCGGCGGCTAGGCACTCATTCAGGATGCGGACACCAGCTATAAACCAGCAGCAACACGGAGCGCTGATCCGATGCCTTCTCCTCGGAAGGGCACTGCACCATCCACAGTCCCATCTCACAAACGGAAACAGTGGCCCGGTGGCTGGCGGGCTGGAGGACCAGGGCTGGGCCTGGCTTCCAGGGGCTCTGTCTCCATCCTCCCCGTCAGACCATCAGCATCCGAGCAAGGGAAACAGACTCAGAACGGTCATCAGTTTGCAATGAGCGGCTCGGGGCAGCTTGATGAGGGCTGTCCCCAAGAGAGGTAGCTAGCGGCGGCGAGGGCGGGAACGCTTGCGTGGCCCAGGGAGGCCTGGTCAGGCCTCTGATGTGCCAGTGGTCAATGTGATTCCCATGGCCGCCTGGTGCCTTTCTCCTGGGCAGGAATCCGGCACCTGGCTGGACCCATCCGCAGAGATCCGGCCGGAGGGGAGGGTCAGGAGCCCGCCGGGGTCCTTCAGGAAGAGGCCCAGCCTCTGGGCCACGGCGTCCAGCTCGGCGGCGGTGGCGTGCTCCAGGAGGTTGCCGCTGCGCACGAAGAAGTGCTTCAGGAAGCGCTGGCGCACGCACTTGTGCAGCTTCCTGGCCAGGCGCAGGAGCCCTTTGCTGAAGACCCGCCAGTCCCTGGCATGTGGATACTTCTCGCAAGTCCAGAAGAGCACTGTCTGCGGAGGGAGGAGGGGGTCAGACACGTGGGCCCCCGAGGAGCGTATCCTCGGAAACACTGAGCTCACGTGACCCTGGAGGCGGCGGGAAAGTCCCCCCAGGGCCAGCTGGTTCTGCCCTGAATTCCGGATCCCCGACCTCAGCCTTGTCCGTCTCCTGCGCCTCTCGGTTCCTTCCTCTGCTCCCCACTAACACGTCCAATAGTCACAGCTCTCCCCACCCCTCTGCCTCTGCCTTACAGGGAAAACGGAAACCCTCATGCCCAGACATCAGCGTCTTCCTCGCTGCGCCTCTGCTCCTCCCAGCGGGCCGAATCCCTCTCCTTCCAGAAGCTGTATGTGCTGGATCTCCCGCCATCCCTTCTTTGTCTTCACTTCCTCTGCACCGACTCCCTGCCTCAGTCCCTGCAGCGGACTCTCCCACTGTCAGTCCCCACAAGCTGCTCTCCTTAAGGGCCAGTGATCTGCACACGGCTGAACCCCGCTTCCAGCCCTCGCTCCACCCGGCCAGCCAGCAGAATCTCCCCTTCATGACCTCCTCTGGGGTTACCCTTCACGTGGCTTCCAAGCCACCACACCACACCCTGGGCTTTCTCCCAGCACCACAGCTACTCCTCGGCAGGCTTCTCCTCCCGAAGCATGGCGTTCCTCTGCTCCAACTCTACCTTCTCTACCTTCTCTACCTTCCTTCCACAACAGTGGCTTTCCTCCCACGAGACACAGGTGACTCCCAATTCTCTTTCTCCAGCCCAGACTGCTCCACTGACCTCTTTATCTGGTGTTTCTTAAAAATCTGAAAAGTCATCTTCCAACATGTCTCAGCTGAGCTCACGCCACCACACACACACACACACACACACACACACACACACCCGTCTGCCTCCAGAGCTGCTCATCCAGCCAGTCATGCAAGCCACTGACCTGGGTTCACCCCCTCCCTCGCCAATCCCAGGCAAGTCCTGCCGATCCTGCTGCCGATGTAGGTCTCAAATCCACCCACGTGTCTCCTCTGCGGCGTCGCTGTCCCCTTCACCACATCGCGCCTGGACCTGCACGATAGCCTTCCCGCCTGTCGCCAAGCACACGGAGCCAACGTGGTCTTTCTGAGATGTAAGTCTGTCTGAAGGACCGCCACGTCTCCTCATGGCTTTAGTTAGAAACATAAACCGCATGGTCTGGCTCACAAGGTTTGGTCCAACCTGCCTTTCCAGCCTCGTCCAGCACTATGGCCTCCTGGGCTTCTCCTTCTAGCCACACCGCCCTCATTTCTTTTTAAAAAAAATATATATTTTTATTGATTTCAGAGAGGGAGGAGAAGGAGCAAGATAGAAACATCAATGATGAAGAGAATCATTGATTGGCTGCCTCCTGCACGCCCCCCACTGGGGATTGAGCCTGTAGTCCGGGCATGTGCTCTGACCGGGAATCGAACCCTGACCTCCTGGTTCACAGGGGGACGCTCAGCCACTGAGCCAAGCCGACTGGGCAACACTGGCCTCATTTGATGCTCTCTTCTCCCTCAGGGCCTTTCACAACCTACTTTCTACTTCCACTTGGAACACACTGCCACCCCTTTTCCCAAGAAACTCATTCATCACATCTCATTGCCCCTTGACACGCATTCAATGCCCTCCTTGTCACTTACTTCTCATAAGCAGCCGTGAGCCCAGCAGTCCTCATGTTCCTACGTACTCTGGGTTCCCTACGAGGAGGCGACTTCCCCAAGACAGAGGACTGTACCTGCTTTTAGTCACTGCTGTGTCACCAGCCCCTGACTGGCACCTGACTAAGTGTGCCAGTCAGGTGCCAGTCAGGGGGCACAGGAAGTGCTGACTGAGCGAAATAGAGAATGAACCAATGTGATGGTTTGGACGTTGGGTATGTTTAAAAATACAGTCTTGACTAAAAAGTGAGAGAACAGTTTTAGGGTCACGGTAAGATACTGACTACGTTTTGACTTAAATTGTTTGGCGTGAAGAGTTGGAGGTCATCTCATGCCGGTCACGATAACCTGGGCACAGAAGACAGGGGCATGTTCCTCTCCTGCAGCTAGCCCTTCATCTCCCAGGCACACTGAAGCCGGTCTGCGCATGCTCATCGAGGCCCTGTGCCCCTGAGTGGGTTTTAGGACTAAACAAGCCAGTGGAAGGTAAGCTCTGGCTTCACGCTTTGGGGAAGGGCCTCTTGAGGGTGGAGGGGAGGGCCCTATAAGACAGGGCCAGGCTTCAGGTGAGGTGAGCCTGACGGCTCTTTTGCAACCCAATCTCTTCCACGTTCCCCAGATGGACGCCCGCAATGGTCCTGCCCGCTCGGGCCCTCCTCGGGGACAACCCCACCCGCCACCAGCTGCGGCCATGGCACTACCCGCTGCCCAGGGGGGGCAGACTGGAGGAAAAGGCAGCTCTGCTTCTGCTCATCCCACCGTCCAACACCCGACTCCCTTTTAAACGCCCCCTCCTGAGCGTAGACAGTCTTGCTCTGTTCTGGGGGTGGGCAGGGAGGACCGAAGCGGAAACCTTGAGGGAGTTGCCCTAAACTCTATGATTAGAAGCCTCTGGGATGAAAATGATCCGTGGGTGGATGCAGTTTTGAGAGCAGTCACAGCCGGGAGGCCCACAGCACCCTCGTCCATCTTGCCTTAAATATTTATGCCCTTAAAGTGTCTCTATCCATTTCCTTGCGGAGCAAGGCCCCTGGGGTTAAGATTATGAGGTTTTGCTCCGAGACAGACTGGAGTTTGCTTCTCAGCTCTACCTCTTCCCGGTATAGAATGGTAAGCAAGAGAGAAGGTAAGGCCGCAGAATGACTAGATTGTCTTCAGACCCGGTGTGCCTCACCCCCCAGCACAGGTGTGTGCTTTCAAGGACATGTGCCTGAGAACATGTTAAGAATGTAGACACTTGGGGGGAAGGTCCCAGATATGAAGAGACTCTCTGCCAGACCGAGGAGGGCAGATTATCAGAAGAGATAAGAAGGCGGAGCCAAGGCCAGTGGTTTTGTGAGGAAGCGAACCAGCTGTGGAGTCACTCATGCACTCAGCCAACCAGTATTTACCAAGCAACCAGTAGGTGCACAGCACTGGGCGAGACGGGCTCAGGCGTGAGTGAAACCAGCCTGGTGTCGCTGTCCATTGAAGGAGAGGAGGCAGAGGTAGGAGGAGGCAGAGGTAGGAGGAGGCAGAGATAGGAGGCGGCACAGGTAGGAGCGTGGAGGAAGGTACCACATAGACGGGGACTACGCCAGCGACCCGTGCTCCCCCATGTAGGGCCCGGGGAGAAGCCTGCAGCTCCCAATGTACTAACTGGGCTGGGGCTGTGCTGTCCGTCAGTCTGATACCTAGTGAGCTGCACACGGTGCCACCTGAGCGTCCAGCTCACCGTGTGCCGTCGGACATTTGAGAAGGAGGAGTGGGAGAGGGTCATCAAAGGCCACTCTCCCGGAGGGGCTCCCTGGTTCCCGGAGCAACGTTCTTCTTCTCCCCGGTGCTCCCTGCACCATGTGATTCCACCTGCAAAGCTGCCTGATCCACGCCCCTCTCCCCTGCCATCCCTGGAGCCCCACGAGAGCAGCAGCCATGTCTGTGTGTGTTCCCCGGGGCCCTCCAGGGGCAGGGGCAGGGGCAGGGGTCCAGCTTGTAGTCACCTCAGTGCACCTTTGCTGAGTGAGTGAGGTGGTCCTGAAGGTGCAATGTTGGGTTTGGGCCAAGGGGAGGCAGGTGCTGGCAGTGACGGGAAACCACGCCCATGCTGGGACCCGGAAGTACAGTCCTGGTCTAACCTGATCGTTTCCTGGCTTCCTCCGCGGAGCGGAGCATGTGTGCGTGAGTGGCTGCACCTGGTCTGAGTGGGGGCTGAGTCAGAACACGAGGAATTCTGAGGTTTGAGCAGCTCGCACGGTTTCCCCAGACGGAAGACTCCTCATGGGGAGAGGCCACGTGTTGCAAGTCATTCCTAACGCTCAGCGGGGCTTCTGACGCAGTGGGCACCCATGATTTGTAAAGTGAAATAAAAGGAGAGAGAAAGACACCGAGGGGAAAAGGAAGGAGAGGCACAAAGAAAAGGGAGGGAGGGGGAGGGGGAAAGAGAGGGAGGACGCGGTACCTGGGCTAGGGGAGTTGTGGGCACACGTACAGCTGGTTTCTCTTGCTCCATGAGTGACCGTTTGTGGTTGGCAAATGAAGACAGTGGAAGCCCATCCTGAATGCATCACTCATACACACACACTCATACACACACACACACACACTCATACACACACACAGGCCAGGTCCGTGTGGCCAGGCCAGGCCCTGCCGGACACAGAGGGGATCCACCCCAGTCCCGTCGCGGTCGCCCCGGCCGCGCACTCACCTGCAGGTGGTGGGACGTGATGACGGGCCTCCGGCCCGGACACCACACGTCCTCCTTCAGCTGCCGCAGGGCCTGGAGGCACCGCCGGCGGCAGCCCCCGTCCTCGTCCAGCTGCTCCAGCAGCACCCGCTCAGCCTGCAGGAAGCTCAGCTGCCAGTGATAATGCCAACGCCAACGGGCCAGCAAGGAGAATCCAAACGACTGGAGGGAGAGGGAGGCGGCGGGAACGTGAGAAGGATGGCGCCGGCCGGAGGAGAGAGCCATCTCCGAAGCATCCACTGCCCCGGGGGCCAGTCCAGGGGCAGGCGGTGGACACAGCGGGAGCCCCGGGCCCGCCCCTCGCACTTGGGCCGTTAATGGTGGAGGCTGCGTTCACTTCCTCTGGGGAGGATTCTCCGTCTGGAACTTGCACCACAATCACGTGGACCTGGCGGGCTTGTTAAAACCCAGAGGGCGGGGCCTGCCCACCCAGCCTCGTCCAGGAGATCAGAGGGGGCGTGGGAATCCTCACATCTACCTGGTCCTCAGGTGCCACTCCCCGGCAAGGGCCCCCTCGAGAACCGCGGTTCTGGGGAACCTGTTTTCTTCAGGAAGCTGGGGGCAGGCCGCCGGCCAGGGGCCCGCTCACCGGTACCTTGATGCACTTCGCCCGCTCCGCGGAGGGCCAGCGCGACAGGCACCGAGGCCACGGGGCTCTCTTGGACCAGGCGGTGGGGATCTCCACTTCGGGGGCCAGCTCTATCTCCACCTGCCCTGCGGAGGTTTCCATGGCAACGTGGACTGCAATGCCGCTGGTTAGCATGCTGACCTTTCCTGGCGGGAGATGACGAGCAGGCTCAGCACAAAGCATTCAAAGAGGGAATCTGGGAGCAGCGACTCTCACCAGCGCCCGCAGCCTCGGGGGCCATTTTCAGAGTGTCCATAGCACACCCAGGGGGGCTCGGTTTATATCAAATCTAGACAATTAGCCGAGTCAATATCGACAGAAGCATTGCTAGAGGAATCTCAGGGTTGGTGGGTTTTTCTTGTATGTTTCTCCTCCCTCCCCCGAGGCTGTTATGGCACCTTTTCTTTGAAATTAATAGATTCTTTTCAGGAGCCTCGACTGAAAGAGATGATGAATACAAACAAAAGGTAGAGTATTTGCTGCTGTGAGATGAAATCAGACCATTCTTCTACATCCCCCTCGTTCCCCGCAGAAGCTGACCTTGTCTGAGACAGCCTTGGCCCCTGGTTTATTCATCGGCCTGCGGTGGCGTTCGGTTTAACCGTCTCTTGTCCGAGTCACAGGCTCTCCGGTGGTATCTGTTCTCACCATCATCACGCCAGCCCCACCCCCGGCTGCATTACCATTCGAAGCCCTCGCAACCATAACCCGCTTTCCAATCACTGGCTTCAAGAGTCCTGGGGGCTGCCCAGCTGTTGTGGCTCAGTGACTGAGCATCAACCTCTGAACCAGGAGGTCACAGTTCGATTCCCAGTCAGGGCACATGCTCCAGTGGCCGGCTCCATCCCCAGTGTGGGCGTGCAGGAGGCAGCCGATCAATGATTCTCTCATCGTTGATGTTTTTTCTCTGAAATCCCTTCCTCTCTGAAATCAATCAAAATAGTTATGTATTTTTTAAATAGTGAGCAGAAGGAAGCCTGCACGCTGTCATTTCCAACCAGGTGGAGAGAGAGGGAGAGAAACACACCCAGTCAAGTTTCCCAACACAGAGGCTAGAATCCATTTCTGATCTGTCCCCACTTCTTTCAAAGGATGCAGGTTGTTTCTTTAAAACATTGTTATTAATTTCAGAGAGGAAGGGAGAGGGAAAAAGAGAAATAGTAACATCAATGATGAAAGAGAATCACTGCACGCCTCCTGCACACCCCACACTGGGGATTGAGCCCAAAATCCGGGCATGTGCCCTGACCTGGAACTGAACCCTGACCTCCTGGTTCATAGGCTGGTGCTCAGCCACTGAGCCACGCTGGCTGGATGCAGGCTTTTTGTCTGCCTTCATGAGACAAGGCCGAGCCCCGTGGGTGGGGCGCTGGAACTTTGCTCCTTGCCCGAGAAGAGACAAAAGCTCCCTCATACCCTGTCAGCTGGGATGGGAGGAGGAGCCCATTGTCTCCTCTCAGAGCTGCTCACAGCGAACACGAGGACGCCTGCCACTTCAGCATGACTTACTGACGGCTTCTCCTCAACCCGCCGGTGTGCCCCTCTCATACTCACTCTCCCTGCCAGACCCTCCTGCCTGGCCCGTGCCGACTCTGTTCACCCACGTGGTACTTCATCTCTCTACATCTCTCTCTTTTTTTTTAATCTGTAAACAGGTAGAAAAATAATTCTTACTCTCTAGGGGTGCCATGCATATTAAATTAAATAATCCACAGGAACATTCTCTCCATGGTCCATTAAACATGGGCTATTTCCATCATGGAACCTTCCAGAATCCTTCTGTCTAGACAAGGAAATGTACACGGACACCCATTCCTTTCTGTGCAGACGGAACAGGTATGGCTCAGCTCTCTGGCTCTTCACTTACTTGTCCGGCGCGGGCAATTTTCACCCCTGTGTGCGTACACAGGCACCTCCTCCTTTCTGAAGGCTGCACGGGAGTCCCTGAGGCCGAGGCAGCAGCATTTACTTGCTCAGTGTTCCTTTTTCAGACCCTTTCTAGATCCTCACTGCTACACAGCCTATGACTGTGGGTATCCCTATACATATTTTTTTTAAATATATTTTATTGATTTTTTTACAGATAGGAAGGGAGAGGGACAGAGTTAGAAACAATGCTGAGAGGGAAACATTGATCAGCCGCTCCCTGCACACCTCTCACTGGGGATGTGCCTGCAACCAAGGCACGTGCCCTTGACCGGAATCGAACCCGGGACTCCCCAGTCCGCAGGCCGACGCTCTATCCACGGAGCCAAACCAGTCAGGCTCATACATATGTCTTTGTGTATCTGTTTAGGACTGGAATTACTGAATGGCCAGGTAACCAGGTCACAAGTTACCCTTTAAAAAGTGGACCCCACTTCTCTTGATCCTCTCACCTGACAGGTGACAGGTTTCGATGGCGTTTTCCACCAGTTTCCGGAAGACCTGGAGCACCTTGGCGGGCACGATGTCCCCCTCGATGCTCACGTCCGTCTCGTGCCACTGCCACAGGTTCTTCGCGAACTGCTGCACCTCCAGCCACTGCAGCAGGCCCTCGGGGCTCCGCAGCGGGCAGTGGAGCCGGGCGCCCTGCAGCGTGTAGTACCGCCAGCGCTGCTCCCTGGCCTCCCGGTACCCGGCCAGGCCTCTCACTGGGACTGTGACGAGAAACTGGCTGGGGCCCAACACCTGGGGTCCAGAGAGAGAGAGAGAGAGAGAGAGAGTGAGTTCACAGACTGGGATGTCACGGCGTCCCCTGGAGCCACCTGCTGAGCCGGGCATCAGCCCTCAACCACGTGATGAGGTGGACGGGAACTGCACCTGCCTGTTGCGAGAGGGCCCGTCCTGTCCTGCCACTGACCCCCTGGGATGCCTCGAGTAGCTCATGAAGTCCCCGAGCCCCGGGCTTCGCGGGTCTGCCAGGAAGAGGCATGAAGGAAACCTGGGCTTTGCAGGGCCCCTCGTGTTTACGGGGAGGCGTTTTCTTCCAGAAGGAAACTTCCCAGGGTGTACGGTAGATCTAGGAAAAGCAATGTTATGCTTCTATTCCTAGTCACGGGTCTGCTTTCGTCTAATTTGGGAGGCAGTGGAGGTGGGTGGGAGAGGGAGGCAGAGATGTGCTGGCATTCCAGGATCTAACCTACAATAGTTTTATCATTTGCAGCCTGGGGTGAATTTCCCAAGATCTTATTGTTTCAAAACGCAACGAGTCCCAGAATCTTATGGGTGGTCCCTACGCCCACTGACCTCGAAGTATAGTGCACCAGTACACCATGTGCTCAGATACTAATTCTCCTGCTCATTCATTCATGCAACAGAAGTTGTCTACCGCAGGCTGCACCCTGCTGGGTGCTGGGAACGGAGCCATCAACACACATGACCCCTACAAACGAGGGACTGACTCCGGTGTGAGCGGGGAGCGTGAATCCAGATAACTTTAACACAAATGAAAGGCAGATAACTTTAATACAAATGAAGGCAGTTCTGTGTGCCATAAGAAAAATCCAGATCAAAGGGCACAGGGATCCAAAATAATCCAGAGCCTCGCTTCATCTGTCCCTGAGAGGGAGAGAACCCTCGTGTCTGTTCCGTGAGACCGTCTGCAGGCGAGATCCTCCTGTGAGGGCGGCTTCGCCCACTCACAGCGGAGCACAAACTCGGGCTGGCAACCTGGCGGCTTACAGCTCTGGGGGCTCCGAGTCAGGGACAAGGGTTTCGAGGCGGCCCCTGCAGTGTCTAAAGGCCACCTCCCACTGTCTTCCCTCCCCCACCTGCAACCCACACAATACTTTCTACTATTTTCTGGACAATTCCCTCTGCCCAGCCCCAATCTGTCACTGTGAGAGAGGCACGGCCCTGGCTCAGGGCCCCAGGGTGCCCTGGCTTCCACGCCCCATGGGACGGACCGCACCCTGTCACTTCCCTGTCTCAGTCTCCACCAGCTGGAAATTGGAACGTGATCGCTCACTCGCGTGTGTAAGTGGTAAAGACTCAGTCGCCGAGGAAACAGGCGGTACTGGTAGTATTCTCAGGGGTGTCGGCGCCTGTCACCTGCGGCTCCCGGGAGCCCCGGGGGTGGGGGTGGGCGGCGTCCGGAGGCGAGGGAGGCTGCTCACCGTGATGTTCCCATTGTACATCGGGGAGTACGGGATAGCCTGGAAGCGGATGTCCTGGTTGCTGATTTCTGTGGTCAGCTGGTAGACGACCTTCTGCACCTCCTCCACCATCTGGGAGACCCGCTGGCGCCTCCAGTCCACCTGGTGGGCAGGAAGCAGCACAGGGGTTATCCCCAGGGCTGCCCCGGGCACAGGCATAAGGAAGGGACGGGACAGGACGCAGTGGAGTGACCACAGGAGCAGGGCTCCCAGAGAGGTGACTTCAGGTCCGATGGCACCTGTCAGTGCCTCCGAGTTCAGTTCTAAAACAGGAGCACCCATTAGTCTGGATGGTGTGGCTCAATGGTTGAGCATCAACTAATGAACCAGGAGGTCACGAGTTTGATTCCTGATCAGGGCGCATGCCCGGGTTTTGGGCTCAATCCCCAGTGCGGGGGTTTGCAGGAGGCAGCTGATCAATAATTCTCTCTCATCACTGATGTTTCTATCTCTCTCTCCCTCTTGCTTCCTCTCTGAAATCAATTTTTAAAAATCTTTAAAAAAATAAAAGCATACATTCAAGTGTGAGTTCACAGACGGGAGGTCACAGGCGTCCCCTGCCATGTGGTTGGTGCCCATTTTTAATACTGGCACACAACGAACAAGACAACAGCGGACAAGATAGGGGTACTTGTCCTCCAGCTGACAATACAGGACCTAGGTATATATTATACATATACGCACGTGTGTGTGTGCGTGTATATATACATACAGGCGAGGCAAAAGTAGGTTTACAGTTGTTCATATGGAAAAATAATACAATAATTAATAAATAATAATCATAATAATAATACAAAGATAAACTCTGTTTCACATGCTCACAACTATAAACCTACTTTTGGTTTATAGTTGTGAGCATGTGTGCATACATACTTCGTGTGTGTGTACAATGTGTTTCTAGGTAGGGTAAGTCCCATGAAGAAAAGTCACATGGAATAAGGAATTAGGGACTAAAAAGGCTACTATTTTGGAATCAGGTGGCCAGGAAAGTCACCTCTAAGGAGGTGACCTTCGAGTGGGCCCTGATGACAGCGGGGGAAAGCAAATTCCAGGCCCCAGCGCAGGAGCACCCCTGGCAAAGCCAAAGCCGGCGGCCCAGCAAGGTGCCCTGGGGCTGGAGGCTGGGAAAGGAGGGCAGGGCCAGGCCTTCACTCAGGGGTTGTGAACTGTGGGGAGATTAGGACGTAAGGGGGTGATACTGCCTGCTGTCTGGGTTGGTGACTGTGAAACGGTCAGCATGTGTGGAGATTAAACAGTTTAACGCCCAGTGCCTGCTCCCCGCTATGTCCTTAAACCACGGCTCCCTTCTCCTCAGAACTCACCCCTCCTGGACCTGCTGACTCTGCATAGCACATCTCCCCAAACTGGGAAATACTCCCAGAAAACTGAACACCAAAAATATATGCCTTTAGAGACATGTAAGCTTTAGTGAAATGGATTTCCCTAAATCCATTTGTGGGAAACACAATGGAATTTTTAGTAATCTCAAGGAGAGACAGAAAAATCCAAATAATCTTTGGATGGGACATCTATAAGTTTTTTTTCTGAAATAGAGGCGTGGCTCTGTGGTTGAGTGTCAACCAATGAACCAGAAGGTCATGGTCTGATTCCCAGTCAAGGGCACATGCCCAGGCTGAGGGCTCTCTTCCCAGTAGGGAGTGAGCCGATTGATGTTTTCTGTTATCATTGATGTTTCTCTCTCTCTCTCTCTCTCTCTCTCTCTCTCTCTCTCTCTCTCTCCCTCCCTTTCTCTCTGAAATCAATTAAAAACATTTTTTTTTTTTTAAAGAGGGAATGGGAGACAAGCAAGTGGAGACAGAGGTAGGGACTCCTCCAGGAAGTTGGCTAGGGAAGGAAAACAAACAAACAGGGACTCTGACAGGTATTTTCAAAATGCCACGCAGGTTTGAGCACGTTTAAATGCTGACGGGGAAGAACCAGTGGAGGAGCAGGGGCGGAGGGCAGAGCCACTGAGTGAGGACTTCCCAGCCAGGAAGAGCTGGGCAAGTGCGGAAACCTGGTGAGAAATCCTCCGGTGCCAGGAGGATGGAGAGATGGGTCACGCACAGAGGAAAGGGCCGGGAATGCGGGGAATCCAACACTTCCTGCCTGATGGCTGTTTTCTTTATGAGCAGGAGTCCGGGCCGTGGGCTGAGAGGGAAGAGGAGAGGTGGGAGGGAGGGACTGCGGGGTGACAGACTTTGGAAACATCTTCTCTAAGGAAGGAGGGGCTGTCTAGACACATGTGAGATGCGGGTGGGCCCACACAGCTGTGGGATACCAGTAGGCCCCACTGCAAGATGCTCTCAGCAGCCAAAGCCGGTTTGGCTCAGTGGTGGAGCATCGGTCTGCGGACTGAAGGGTCCCAGGTTCGATTCTGGTCAAGGGCATGATGGTTGAGGGCACATCCCCAGTAGGGGGTGTGCAAGAGGCAGCTGGTCAGTGTTTCTCTCTCATCAATGTTTCTAGCTCTCTATATCTCTCCCTTCCTCTCTGTAAAATATCAATAAAATATATTAAAAAAAAAAAAAAAGAAAAAAAAAAGATGCTCTCAGCACCAAGGTAACAGCTGAGGGGCTAAGCCTGGGGTTTGCTCGGCCATATCTGCAGGTGGATAAGAGAGCTTGGGAGGGTTTCGGCAGCAGGCTGCATCTCACACTCTGGCCAGAGAATGGACAGAGCCGGGTTAGGGACATCGGATGACCAGAAGTCTGACCAGGAATAGCAGGGAAAAGGAACCCAAGGCTGACGATAGAACGCTGTGGTCAATGGCTGGGAACCGCATTCTCACAGTCAAGTTCTCAGAGTGCTGAGAGCACTGCGGCTAAGCCAGCCCTCTCATTGCCGTGGCCGTAGATGAGTGATGCAGCACTTGTTGGCATGCACAGTCAGTCACTCTCACTGAGCAGAGTTTATGTAAAAGCACCCGTCCATCCCTTAAGGGCGCCATCCATGGCTGGCCCCTCTCTCTCTCCAGGGCAGCTCAGTGTACGCGTCCCCATCCCGGGCTACGTCCCTCCCACCCCCCGAACCAGTGTTAGGCTCATTGTTGTCCCACACGTCACTTGCTACTATGAATAGCTCAATTCTGTAGACAACTTTTCCAGTTTCAAATATAAATTATATGGATGTCAAGATGGTTCCCTAAATAACATTCTGACCCGCTGGCATTGCAACATGCTTCCTTAGAGAGAGGTACGGAGATGGCACTCAATGGCATGCCAGGAACGAGATGTCACATAGGTCTGGTCACACCCCCGAGCACGTGGCCCGTGAGGGTGTCACCCTCGATCAGTGCCGCTGAGGAAAGCGCTGAGAACTTCCTTCCCGGCAACAGGAAGTCAGACTTTTAATTCTGGAATTGCATTTAAATCCAGTAACCAGTTTGTTCGTTTCTAAATGCCAGCCGGTGTGGCTCAGTGGTTGGGCGTCGACCCAGGAACCAGAAGGTCCCGGTTCGATTCCTAGTTAGGGCACATGGCCAGGTTACGGGCTTGCCCTGGAGTACAGGGTTTCTCTCTCGTAGCAGACCCGTCCCAGGCCTGTGTTTTGGGTGCGGTATTTTGCACAAAGCGGGTGCCCAGCGTGTCTATGGAGAGGCGCGCAGAGGGGTTTAGCAGAAGGAATATGGCTTCGGTAGAAAAAGAGGAGGCTGGAACCCCAGCACCCCCTCTGCCTGGCTGTGTGAGTTTGGACGAGTTACTTAACCCACATGAGCCTCCGTCCCCTCCCCTGCGAACACGGAGGCCAAGGGCGTGCATCGTAGCGTTGGCCAGATGACATGAGATACTGGGCGGGCCTCACCCTGCCAGCACCTTCACTCTATCCCTGCATTGTCTTCCATGGGCCCTGGAGACAATCCCGGCCACGTGTGTGCAGATACCATGTGAATTTCAAGGGGAATGACAATATCCAAGACTCTTCTTCACCCCTGAAACTGAGCAACAATAAAACAATATACCAGTGAAGTTACCGCCCCGCGATACTAACAAGAACAGCCTCAGGAGTTAATACACAACCAATTGTCAAATAAGCATGTTCACTAATAATGCGAGGGGGGTCCCCCGGAAGGCGAACGCGTTTAGTGCTGCGGTGCCAGGGACATCGCTGTTGAGAAAGTGGACTCAGCTGAGTTTGATGGGTGATGATGGGGCAGAAAAGTGGGGAGCAGAGAGGCTTTCTCCCCTGGGCAGGGGTGGGGGGGAGCCGGGGCCTGAGACCTTCTCAGAATGGTTCAGTCCCCTGCAGGGTGAGGAGGCGTGAGAAGGGGTGAGGAGGGGTGAGAAGGAATGAAGAGGGGTAAGAAGGGGTGAGGAGGGGTGAGAAGGAGTGAAGAGGGGTAAGAAGGGGTGAGGAGGGGTGAGAAGGAGTGAAGAGGGGTAAGAAGGGGTGAAGAGGAGAGAGAAGGAGTGAAGAGGGGTAAGAAGGGGTGAGGAGGGGTGAGGAGTGAAGAGGGGTTAGAAGGGGTGAGGAGGGGTGAGAAGGAGTGAAGAGGCGTAAGAAGGGGTTAGGAGGGGAGAGAAGGAGTAAAGAGGGGTAAGAAGGGGTGAGGAGGGGTGAGGAGGAATGAAGAGGGGTAAGAAGGGGTGAGGAGGGGTGAGAAGGAGTGAAGAGGGGTAAGAAGGGGTGAGAAGGGGTGAGAAGGAGTGAAGAGGGGTAAGAAGGGGTGAGGAAGGGTGAGAAGGAGTGAAGAGGGGTAAGAAGGGGTGAGGAGGGGTGAGAAGGAGTGAAGAGGGGTAAGAAGGGGTAAGGAGGGGTGAGAAGGAGTGAAGAGGGGTAAGAAGGGGTGAGGAGGGGTGAGAAGGAGTGAAGAGGGGTAAGAAGGAGTGAGAAGGGGTGAGGAGGGGTAGAATGTTAGGAGAGGTGAGAAGGGGTGGAAAGGGGGTAGAAGGTGAGAAGGGGGAAGGAGGGGTGGGAAAGGGGGAAAAGATGAGGAGGGGTGAGGAGGGGTGTGTGGGAGAGAAGGGTACCCATCCTCACCTTATTCAGCAGGCAGGCTTCGAAGCTGTCCGCGACCAGGGGTTGCATGGCTCCCTGCTGGGTCCCGAGCGGAGGCTCCATCCTGGCTGCTTGAGGGCGGACAAGGCTGTGAGCGGCTCTCCCCACAGCGCCAGCCTCTCTGCTGGCGTCTCTGGGACGTGCACGTGGACCAGAGACTGGCCTTTGCAATTCTTCACCTACGCTCCAATTTCCAAACAGGGAGCATCCATCTGTTATCTTTGGGAGGATTTAAAAAATCGTTTAGAGAGTTGATGAAATGGAATGGGAGCCCAACCTAATTGTATTCCACTTAGCGCTGTGCTTCGGCTGAAGGGCAGTGTTCCAAGCTGTCTTTCCCATCCAGTACGTGGGGCAGAATGCCCTGCCCTTGGCGTCTCCACCCTTTCCTGCTCTTGTCCTAACAGGTGCCCCCCTGGGCTCAGTGTCTTATATCCCCTCGCCCTTCTCCTGTTGACAGTAAATAGCTCTAGCTCTCCACCCAGAAAACCCCGAGGATTGATTTCCTTCTTTACAATAAACAAAACAGGAAGCTGCCCAACAACCAGCCTGGCACCCATCACTGTGCCCACGAACAAGCAATCAGGTCTTGTCAACCAGATCAGGGCACAATCTGCATATAGAAAAGTTCACACACGTGCACACACACAGACATGCACATGCACACGTACGCACACCCACCAATGGCAGGACAGGGGCCCTCTGCTCACCTGCTGACCTTTCACCAGAACCTCCCTCTTCCCACTTGAAAGCTGGCAGTAAAGCTTAAGTCAGTGTAAACAGGCCCCCGGAGAGGGGAGGAAGCGATCACGCCTGGCTTGGCCAGCAAAGCCGTGCTGGGAAGCAGCTCAGGTGGTAAATCCCCTGCCTGACAGAAAACCCCCCACAATGGTCTGATCTGATCTCCCCGAAGCTGTAAACATCAGGTCTGCGAAGGAAGCAACTCGCCAGAGCCCCACTCAGCCCAGCGGTGTCCAAACCCACCCATGCGCCTCCCAGTGCTCAGCAGAGCTGGCTGCCCCGCAACTCTGACCTCCAGAGCCACAGAATTTGCATATCTCACCTCCTCTGCCTGGCTCTGCCCAGCTGCACTGCCCTGCCCAGCCCTGGGGCAGGAAAGCCACTGCAGAGCCCCCTGTGCTCCGCCCACATCGCAGGGTGCAGCCCAGCTGCTTCCCACAGGTCCCTCTGCGAACTTCCCTCTGAGGGAATGGGGAAAGCCACCCTCAGCGCTGCCTTGAGTTTCCATTTCCTCCCATTTGTCATCTGTCTCCTCCTGCCATCGAACGCTCCGGGTATTCCTCAGCTCTCTTACCGCTGGCCAGAGGCTCCCAACAGCAGTCGGCCCAGAGCCTCCCACTCAGGGCTTCTCGAAGCTCAGAATCCTGCCCCCACCTTAGCTGTAACTGGACCCAAGCCCTCCCGTTTCTCCCAGGTGCTCTTGTTTTTGTCCTTATTTCTGCTCCATCCTGGTCACTCACTGGACTCTCTCCTCCCTGGCAGGGCCGTTCCTCTCCTGCAGTCACCCCAGATGCTCACCCGCAGATGGGCAAACTTCGTTACTATGTGCCTGAGGCTTTCCTACCGTGATTGCTCCAGATTGCAGCCGGTCACAGAGAATCTTCTCTGGCGCAGGGGCCAGCGGCACTTGCCAGATGTGAGCAGGGAAAACCACCTACAGGACCAGCGGAGGAGCCTGGGAGAGAAGAGAGAGGCAGGTGCTCAGGGTGGCTTACTCCCGTCAGGCCTGGATGTCAGACCAGGAACACAGGGGTGTTGTATAAACACAGCCCAGTCCTTACTCCGTGACACGGTTCCTTACTGGCCAAGGTTCCAAACACCACACACGGGGCCTCTGGCAAGTGGGAGAGACACACTTTCTTGGCAGATACCGATCTCTGGTTAATTGGATATTGGGTCAGCAACTATGCATTGAGCAACAGTCTGCCTGAGGCACCACGCCGGGCCACTGGGAGGGCCTCCGTGTTGACTCAGATCCCTCTCCTTCCTCGGGAAATATGGCTCCTCACTTCTCATGACTCACACGACGCAAGTAGGCACAGGTCAACCGGCTCAACTCAGCTTCTGCCGTGAGGACCCAGGAGTTATATTTTCAAGGCAGTTTAACAAGGTGCTCACAATCCTGACCTGTCCAGATGCGCAGTCCTGGGCACGCATGTGGCCTGGCCCACCCGCAGGGGTGTCTGTTCCAGACTGACCTGGTGGCCCAGATATTTATTCCAAGAAGGTGAAGGGTTGGCTTGATCCAAATCAATCTTAAAGTGCACCAAGGCTGCAAACTCTGACTTATCCTCTCCGAGTTTTGCTTGAATCCTGGGGTGACTCATCTGTGACAGTTCAGAGGCCCAGACAGAGATAAGGGTCCAGGCCGGAGGGAGCCCCAGGCCTTGAACAAGACGGGGACCCTGTGTGCTCCGTGCCCCCAGGGTAGCTGAGCACCCAACACGTGATTGACCCTCAGTTAACAGTGGTGAATATTTGACTGCATTACCCATTGACGTGACATCCTTATAGATGAAATATTTTGAGATGCATGGAAGCACTTTATGAAGTAATAAGCTGGGAACCTTTTCAAGTTTTCTTTGAAAGGACGCTCTTGAGTATCTCCGAATTGCTAGCATCAGCACCCTTTTGCTCTGGGGCCATTATGGAGAATAAGGGTTATCTGACCATAAGCACGGAGATACCCTGACAGTCCATCTGATAAGCAAGTCAGCTACTAAATGACTGACCAGTGGTCACGGTCACCGCACGGACACTGGAAAGAAGGACGAGGAATGGCTTCCCCAGGCAGGACATCCCAGGCAGCCCAGCGCGGGATGGCGCCAGATTTCATCACGCTCCTCAGAACAGCGCTGAATTTAAAACTTATATTCTATTCATCTCTGGAACTTTCCATTTACTAGTTTCAGACAGAGGTTAACCACAGGTCATGGAAACCGCTAAGAGTGAAACTGCGGATAAGGGGTAATCGCGCATTTGAAGCAAATTCTGTCATTATTGTGCCTTTCTCTGTTTTCTCCTTCTGTGCCTTTCTCTGTTTCTTCTCCTTCTGGTCTTCTCATTATGTGTGTTACACCTTGTGTAGTTGTCCTATAGTCCTTAGATATTTTGTTTTGTGTCTTACAAGCTTGATTCTCTCTGCTTTTCAGTTCTCTTTGCTTTTGGGTTCTGGAGGTGTCTGCGGAGATAGCCCCTGGTTCAGAGATTCTTTTCTTGGCATCTACTAAGAAGCCCAGGCATTCCTCGTCGCTCCTTCTACCTCCAGAGTGTGTCTCCAACAGTTTGTCTTGGATCTCTCCTAGGACTGCCATCTCCCTGCTCATGTGGCCCATCTGTTCTTGTGCGTGTCTACTTCACCCACTGTGGCTCTCAGCATTTAATCATTCTGTATCTGATAACCCCAACATCCTGCCACGTCTGATACAAATTGTGACTTACTGCCTTTAACAAGCCTCGGAGTTTCTCCCCGATAGTTGAACATAATGCACAGGGTGAAAGGATTGCTGTCAACAGGCCTGTGGTAATGGGGTGTGCGCTATAGAAGAGGGGACGCGTTCTCTGGTCCCAGGATGAAGTCTCAGTCTTTTGGTGCGTTTCTGGTCTGTGAGCCTCACGACTGTTGCTTGGGTTTTCCTTTTCCTCCCTCCTGAAGAGGGATGGCAGGGCCGGATGGGGCCGCAGCTGTCTGCTTTCCTCTCCCCCATGGAAGGCTGGACCGAATGAGAGGTGGGTAGTTCCCTTCCCCCAGGTTGGTTGGGCTCTGATAACACCCAGCAAGGGGCTCCAGTTAACTAGTTTTGCCAACATGATTCTGCATAAGAAGAAGAGAGCCAATCTTATAACACAGACATTTGAAAGTTGGAAATTATTATTAGCCCAACCGTGAGGTACTATATCTGTGTTAGTTTTCTTTTTTAAGACGTATCACACTGAGACAGGAAAGATACAAGCAGAAAAAGAAACAAAAATAGATGTAGGTCAGAGGCAGTAAGAGAACATTCATAAATCATTTCGCGGTATACGTCAATATTTTCAAGGTAGCTACACAACTTCAAGGGCAAGCATTTAACAGAAATATCTGAAAGTACACTGAGAGCCCGACTGGCATGGCTCATTGGTTGAGCATTGACCTATGAACCAGGAGGTCACAGTTCAATTCCCAGTCATGGCACATGCCCGGGTTATGGGTTCGATCTCCAGTGTGGAGCAGCCAATCAATGATTCTCTCTCATTACTGATGTTTCTATCTCCCTCTCCCTCTCCTTTCCTCTTGGAAATCAATAAAAAATATATTTTTAAAATTTAAAGAAAAAATGGGGTACAAATGGGGTACAAATGAGTGGGGACAGCGAGAAAAGTGGCCAACTGACACCAAACTTGATGACACCTTGATCTTGAACTTCTAACCTCATTAAAAATGTTCATTGGTTAAGCCACCTACGGCGTGGTATTTTGTCATGCATGGCCGCTCTAGCCGACTAAGACACTTCTATTGAAGAACTCCCTTGGGCATCTCAGGCCTGGACAGAGAGACATCTAGACAGACAGACATCTCAGTGGCACCACCCTCTGTTGCATCCCCTGCTACCAGTCAACCAATTGCCCCAGAGGGGACAGTAACTCTCAGAGGACGTCTTCTAAAAGCTTTTTCCTGCTTTTCTGGGACACATTTCTGCTACTCTTCCTTCCTGCACCGGAAGTTGGGCCTGCTTTTTTATCTCTCTTTTACTCGCGAGTTTCAATGCCAGAACCATAGAACTCGCAGCCCCGCTTCCCTGTTTTCCTTCAGGAGGCCTAGCGGGAGCTTTTCATGAGAGTTCCCTGGTGATCAGTCTTGGGATGGAGAGTTCTTGGCTCAGGCATCCAAACTAGGACTCTACCACAGGAAGGTCTTCGGAGCTCTCCCTCCGGGAAACCGAGCAGCCCATGAAGGCTGCCTGGGACAGCTCCTGGCCTTCCCCCGAGAGAGGGAAACCCGCTCAAAGGCACGCTAGAGGCGGCACCCGGGACGCACAGGCCCCACCTCCCTGTCTCACTACTCAGGAACCACAGTATTTGTTCTTGAAACACAATTAAGGAAATCAACTGCCAAAGAACACGTGGCTTTCTCCCGCAGGCTTATGGCAGTTTGTAATCTACAATCAATGTTGGGAAAATACCATCTGACCTCTCGGGCAGAAGCTCCAATAAAAGTGATCAAGGTCAAAACAGCCAGACAAAACAATAACAGCAATAAGAAAGAATAGGACAGACGTAAACGAAGCTTGATACTTAAACATCAATGAGTCTTTTTTAGTATTAAACAGTTCATAAGAAAAACAAACAAACAAACAAAACCATACAACTTGGTGGAACAAAGTGCCAAGTGACGGTAACAATTGAGGTAACTCTTTTAACATGTGGCTTTAGTTCCTGAACGTGTCATATAAACACTTACATTTTTCCTGCTTCCAAGTCTTTGCCTCAGTATCTAAATCTCCATGGGGTCGTGGAATAATGGAGTGAGGACAGAAACAAGTCTGATTTGCAGGATGGTGGGATACTTTGACTGTCTTCATTTGCACTCCAGCATCATGAAGGTCAATAGGTATTTCAAGCCCAGGTCAGAGGAAGGCTACGACAAAGTCCCATTAACAAAGGATAGGTAGGGTAAGTCCTCAGTGCGATGTCTATCACAGCCACCTCCCAATTCATTCTCTCCCATCACCATGACAACCAGTCACAAGCAGCCAGAACACTAGCAACCAAGAAGTAACTTTCCAGCCTGGCTGGTGTGGCTCAGTGGTTGAGCGTCGACCTATGAATCAGGAGGTCATGATTCGAGTCCTGGTCAGGGCACATGCCCAGGTTATGGGATCAATCCCCAGTAGGGGGCGTGCAGGAGGCAGCCTATCAGTGGTTCTCTCTCATCATTGATGTTTCTATCTCTCTCTCCCTCTTCCTTCCTCTCTGAAATCAATAAAAATATGTTTTTTAAAAACTTTCCAGAAAAATAATTTTTAAAAAAGAGCTCAGTGTCAAATGGTTTCAGAGATTAATTTTATAAAACAATTAAAAACAAACCTCAGTCACTCACAAAATCTTCCCCCCAAAAAAGAAGAAAAAGAAACACTTCCCAACTTATTTTATGAGATCAGTATCAACCTAATATTAAAAGTAGACAAAGACATTACAAGCAAAGAAAACTATAGACCACTATCCCTATGAATATAGATTAAAAAGTCTTCAAAATACTACGGTAGCAAACCAAATCCAGCAACAATGAATAAGGACCATACACATGACCAAATCAGACTTATCCCAACAAGGTGGTTTCAACACAGGAAAATCAAATAATGTAACACACCTTATTGGTAGTATAAAAAACAAAGCCACGAAATCTCAGTAGGTGTAAAAAAAAAAAAACGTATTTGACAAAAAAGGTCAACACATTTTCATGATAAAAACGTATCAACAAATTATAAATAGTTTAGCCGAAGCTGGTTTGGCTCAGTGGTAGAGCGTCGGTCTGCGGACTGAAAGGTCCCAGGTTCGATTCCGGTCAAGGGCGTGTACATTGGTTGCGGGCACATCCCCGGTGGTGGGTGTGCAGGAGGCAGCTGGTTGATGTTTCTCTCTCATCGACGTTTCTAGCTCTCTATCTATCTCCCTTCCTCTCTGTAAAAAATCAATAAAATATATTTTTAAAAAATTATAAATAGTTTAACAAGGCCATCTATAAAACACCCACAGCTAAAAGCATACTTGATGGTACGAGACTGAAAGCTCTGTCCCTAAGATTAGGAATAAGATACGATGTTCACTCCTACTACTTCTATTCAACCTTGTTCTGGAGGTTCCAGCATTACATATGTTTTTTCTTCCTGAAATTTAATTCCACAATATTTTATTCACTCTTCTGCAAATAGCTATTAGGAGCCTCCTTGTGCCAGGGTTTCTGAAGCCCTAAGGATACAATAAGAAGTAAGGTAAAAAGGTTTAAATTTTAAAATGTATTTAAAGGAAACGTGAGGCCTGCCAACTCCATATGTCTCCATTACAAATAGTAAGAATTGGAACTAAATCAAATAGTTAACAATTGGACACTGGCTAATGATACATCCATATGATAGAAGACTTAAAACATTACCCAGACATGGAGAAAAGTTTAGGAATGGTTTTCTCTGGTGGTAGGATTACATCTAATTTTTATTTTCCAAGTTAGCTTTTTTTTATTGCCTGACTTCTTTTTTTCT